TTTATTAGGCTTGTGCGAATAGTGAATTTTAGGTTCAAAACGAATTCGAAGTGAATAGTGATTTTGGTCTAATAATTTTGAATCGAATTCTGAAGCCTCAACTACCGATTGGGAGCGTTTCCTGATTATGCTCAAAAAGTGTTGCAGAGCTTCTTTAAATTTGCAGGGGGGTTTTGCAGCGAAGTGGATTTCCCTTGGATGGGTGCTTTCCCGGCTTAGCACTCTGACACTGCTGCAAAACCACCTTTACAAACCATTACATGCGGATTAATATTGAAACGAAGATGCAACGAAGATGAGGCTGCATTTCAACAGCTGAAGTTTTCATTGACTTCAGGACCCATCCTAAAGCATTTTGATCCTGATGCTTTGACTGAACTTCATACTGATGCTAGTGGGCTAGGTGTTGGTGCTGTGCTGGTCCAACTCTGCAACAGCCGCCAGCACGTCGTAGCATATGCCAGTCGGACACTGACCCGAGCAGAGACGAACTACACCGTCACCGAGCTCGAGTGCTTAGCAGTCGTCTTCGCCATTCAGAAGTTCCGACCGTATGTACATGGCCACGAGTTCACAATAGTGACCGATCACCACTCACTATGCTGGCTTGTGGGACTTCGTGACCCGTCTGGCCGGCTGGCTAGTTGGGCGTTGCGCCTCCAAGAGTACAGCTTTTCTGTTACCTATAAGAGCGGATGATGTCACACAGATGCCGACTGCTTATCCCGCCTTCCTTCAGTACACACCAATGCTGACGACAATGACATTGATGACTATTTAGTTTCTGTCTCATCCGACTTCCCAGATACCAGCAGCTTCAAACGTGAGCAGCAGCGCGACCCTACTCTGAAACCCTTGCTCGAAGCTGCACATAACTCCGTCGACAAGCACTTTAAAATTTCAAATGGCTTGCTGTATAAAAGAAACTCTTCAGCCGATGGCCTCCCGTTGCTTTTAGTGGTGCCGGAAAGCCTGCGCCAGGTCGTCCTTCGTTCTGCGCACGATGACATAACATCCGGCCATCTCGGTTTCACACGGACGCTACATCGACTACATGAGAGGTTCTACTGGCCGAAAATGTGAAAGACCACAAAACAGTACGTCACCAGCTGCGCTATATGTCAGCGCCACAAGCGATCCACCACTGCCCCGGCAGGTTATTTGCAGCCCATACCTCCACCGACATCCCCTTTTGAAAAAGTCGGCATCGACTTGCTCGGACCCCTTCCTAAGACCCCATCGGGCCACCGATATGTTATAGTGTGCATGGATTATTTAACGCGTTATACGGAAACGGACGCACTGACATCGGCCACAGCAGCCGCTGCTTCTTCTTTTCTGTTATAACGGGTCATACTGCGTCACGGTGCTCCACGGGTTGTCATCAGTGACTGTGGACGACAATTTATGGCCGATGTGGTTGAAGAAATTTTGCGCCTCTGTGGCTCCTCTTATCGCCACTCCACCCCTTACCATCCGCAAACTAACGGTCTCACTGAGAGAACAAATCGAACTCTCACGAATATGCTATCGATGTACGTTGATGCTGACCACAGGAACTGGGACGCCGTCTTACCATTTGTTACTTACGCGTATAATACCGCCAAGCATGAAGTTACTGGACATTCGCCATTCTTTCTGCTTTACGCACGAAATCCACAGACTTTTCTGGACACTCCATTACCTTTCTCGCATCAGGAAGATCTGTCCATCGCTCAGACGTTGTGTCGCGCTGAAGAAGCACGTCAACTAGCGCGCCTTCGAACATTGTCTTCGCAAGAACACAGCAAGAGCCGCTACGATGCCAAGCATATCCCCGTTGAGTTTTCTCCTTGTGACTACGTGTAGCTGTGGACTCCTGTTCGTAAAAAAGGATTGTACCGGAAGTTTCTAGCAAACTATTCTGGCCCATTCGTGATAGTCACTCGTCTCAGTGACGTGAATTACGTTGTCGCCCGAGTCACAGCCGATAACCGGCGTTCGCGCACTACGCAAATTGTTCACGTAGCCCGCCTCAAACAGTACCATCATAGGCCTATTTAACTCGCTCGGTGAGCTTCGGCTGCCGCCGGGGGAAATGAAACAAAGATGCGCGAGCCTACGGGGCGGGGAAGAAGAAGGGTAGTGGAGCGGCGCCTGGACTGTGTGGTTGGGTGGAAGCGTTCTAGGCCTGTCTCAGAAGTACGCTGCTATTTCACAACGTCATTTCACTTCATCTGTAAATAAACACAGTCACTCGTAACAATATTGTTACGAGTGATCGAAATTTTTAATAACTTCAATTTGAATGGAAGCAAATCCTCTACTATCGATTTGAATATTATAATTCGAATATTCGCACATAACTAGCTTGTATTGCTACCAAAAAAAAAAAACATCAAATAAACTTGCCACATCACTTCATTTTAGACAGCTCATCAATACGTGGCATAGTCACGCTTAAAAAAAAATGCTGGTGAGGGTTTCGCAGATCATAGAAATGGCTTCGCAGACCCCCTAGGGTCCAAGACCCCCATTTGAGAACCACTGGTCTAAAAGATTGAGTAAAAGCCAAAAGCATTTGAATATGGTAACCAGCGGACTTGTTTATTTTGTTTTGAAGTTTTGTTTGACTGTTTAAGTTGGTTTTGCTTTTGAAAAGTGTATGAAGTATTTCGGCTACGGGAGCTAGCGTTCAGGTAACAAGTGCTAGGTTTTGTTTACTTCTTAAGCTTTGTATGTCTTGGTTTTAAAGGTAAGTGCTGTGCGGTTACGTAACAACACACCTAGGAGCGTTTGTTGAGTAAGAGCGACATTAGAAACGAATTTTGAGTGAGTGCGGAAACGGAAGAATATTCTTTGAGTTTTTCAGGATTCATTCTTGTCATTTTTTGTTTTGTTCGCATGTGTCCGGTATGGACATAAAGAAAGTGAGTTCGTTGGTTCAGGAGCTAATGCGTAACTGTTATGAAGACGGCAACCGCTTGACAGAATTAGTAGTTGATACACGTAGGAGCACTATGACGTGCGTTTGCGGACGTGGAATGTGGATGATCCTGATGTAGGTGCAGCACGACAGTTATTTTTTCGTCTGCTCGAAGTAAATTGACGCCTAGCTTTGGCGGCACAAAATTTTGGGGTCTATAAGACAGCGTGAAGCAAAAGGCTTTATTTTAGATGTATGAGGCCTGGTAGGTTACAGCGGATTACTAACGCTGGCACACAAGTATGCCACGGAGAGCACATCAATTGGGAGTTCATTTTCTTGAGAGCAGTTTAATAGGGCAATTATTTTCGGATAGAGATCGGGAGCTTTGACGAAAGCCCAGAGAAACGCTTCGATTGCTGCTTTGTGTTAGATTAAAATACTTAAGGAAGGTTGTTTTAACACCATTTTTCGGACTCTGTGTCTCAGCGCGGACAGAGCGCTCTACTGTGCCTATGGTTGTGTGTATTTCTGTGTGATCCCAGGGAATAAAGACCCATGAATGCTTGAAGATTGTTGTATTGTGTCATCGGCAGGCGCCTGGATGACGCCACCAAACACAGCGCTTCGGGCAATCTGTACGGCTGGTCACCTTCAGGTCGCGAGTCTCCCGCCGGTGGACGAGGTGTTGCGTTAAGCGAGCCACCCTTTTGCCGCGGCCGCCAGAACGGAAGAATGGCTGCCACCTCATTTTGTAGAGATAAAAAGCAGCGCGAAGACGCCCTGCTGTTTCCATGTACTGGGCGCTGCGTGGCTGAAATTACTCTACGGAGCACCACTGTCCTTCGGGTGCACGCAGAGATGCAACACGTGGCGTCTTCGTGCCCCGGTAAAAGCCACAATGCTGAGCTTCTGCGGATTACAGACGTTGGACTACCATGCGGTGCATCTCTGACTGATGAGCCACCGACGCTCAAATCAGTACCAGATGTCCAGGTATGGCCCCTCGGAGGCGACTAGACCGCGATCGCCGTTCGACAAAGCTTGGGTGGTTGGGGGCGAGCAGCGAGATGACAAACACGTTTCACCCTGCTCGCTGTAAGCAAGACTCGTTGGAGGAGGCAGCATCGCCGAGACCATACACGTGTTTGGTTTGATTGATTTGTGGAGTTCAAAGTCCCAAAATCACCATATGATTATGAGAGACGCCGAAGTGGAGGGCTCCGGAAATTTTTGACCACCTGGGGCTCTTTAACGTGCACCCAAATCTGAGCACACGGGCCTACGACATTTCCGCCTCCATCGGAAATGCAGCCGGGATTTGAGCCCGCGACCTGCGTGTCAGCAGCCGAGTTTCTTAGCCACTAGACCGCCATGGCGGGGCTGTGTTTGGTTTGTGTATGTGGGTTTGTTGGGGGCGGTGCCGGCATAATGACACTCGTGTGTGCTGCCCGACATGTTATCGGACAGTGCCGTATGAACCTGTTCCCTGATCTAGGGATCTGAGGAGATGAGACTGTATTTAATCAGCCTTCGCGGGCTGCTTAGGGTGGTTCACGAAGCTTGTTCAATAGACAGCCTTTTCCAATGTTGAGCTTCAGGCCAGAGAGCCCGTGCCATGTAAATAACGTAAATAAACCCTCTCTACGAAGTTCAACCTCCTCCTGCCTCAACATCTTGATCCCGGATCTCCTGTACCACAAACCCCGATTGCAACAGTATCGAAAAATAAATAAATATAGAAGTAAACTTCACTCAAGGTACGAGCTGGTTGGTACTATTCCGCTGCAATCTTTCGTACGTTGCCAAGAATCACGAAAACACAAAAAGAACAGAAAGGACAAGAGCTGTTCCTAGTTGTTCTTTCTGTCATTCTGTATTGGTCCGCATTGTACACAAGTCTTCACTCAAGCGTTTGAGGTGTTTCCAACACACACAAAAAAGAAGCACAATAAAAGAACAAAAAAGCAACTACTGCAGGACAGCAAAGATGCCTGCCTTCAAATTATTGAGAATGTTCAAGCACTAGTTCTTCAAAAAGCCTCAAGGACGAAATTTGATGTCTTCATTAATTAAGCTTCAATAAGAGACACACCTTAGGGACAGCACAGTCTATGCGAAGTTGGTCAGGATTAGTGCACACAGCAACAAAGTATGGCTTATAACTGCACTTCTTGAATGCCAGCTTCGACACAAGGTTTCCATCCATGCAAGAGTCCCAAAAGCAAGCCACAACAAAATCGTTGTGCTTCCAGTTTTCTAAGGCCCTGTCCAACATACTCAGCACCTGAAAAATATTTATATTATGCAACTTACATTAGCAATTTTGACTAATTACATTAGTCATACATTATGCATACATTAGTCACTTTGAAAAAGTGTAACATAGTAATAAAGTTACCTTTGTCGCTCCGAAATTCTGGTTGTATTTTCGTATGATACTGTCTATTTGACGCTCCAACTTGAGAAGTTCTGTCTCTGCTTTCCTTTGAAGCAGCAGAGAAACTCCACGTGCAGCTGCAAGCTGATTTCATTCGAAAGAGAAAGAACATGTTTAACTCATAAGACACGTCATGACACAAGTTCAGTCAAATAAGATAAGAAAAAAAAAAAAATAAGATATTAAAAAGAAAATTTGCATGGGAAATAGCATTTGTATATTTTCTGATGGCTTTTCTTGAATACAATTTTTACCGACTATAATATAATTAAAAAAAAGGTACTGCATACCTTTCTTACTTCTCCAAGTTTTCTTTTGCAAGCTGCCATCATTACATAGTTATCCTATGGAAAAAAAAAAAAAGATTGTGAAAGGCTCTATGCTGACTGAATTGAGGCTGTTTCACTATGTAAATGCGTAACTGCTGCAGAGCAGTTACAAAAATTAATACCTAGACTAATAGAAAGGTACCTACCAGGGATGTACGGTTCAAAGCTTCAACTTCTTCAACCAGCTCACACATTTGCCTCTGGACCTGCTCATCTCGGGAGCGCACAACAGCAGCCAATGGCCCAGCTACAGCATGGATAGATCTTACCATGGTGCCAACAGATTGGTGTGAGGTCACCACAATTTCACCCAGGTCCGACAAAGATGAGACATGCCTTTAGATGATATATAAAAACCACACTTAACACGCAAAATATATCATCAATGAACACAACAGCTCTCTTGTGATGTGAAATCCGCTCGTGAAAATTCAACAACATTTAAAGAGTTGCTAGATCCCTCCAGGTAATTTTTTTTAATTCCATGCTCCATTTCAGGCCTGCATAATCCCTTCAAGTGTTACAATGCTGAAAGGGTAATATCATGCATGCAAGGCAAAAGCTGTAACAAAAGACATCAACGCTGGTATGTCTTAGGCCTTGCTTTCACCATACAATCAAATGCTGGCTCTTCCTCACTGTCTTGCTTGCCCATCATGCACAATCCAATGATTACACCTCACGTGGTGTGTTTTGCACTGCATGTGCAACAGCAGCAGTTCGAGAATGAAAAGTAACAAGTAATAATAAATAAGCTGAAATTATTGGCATTTTCAAATAATCAAGCAATACCAACATCAGATTTGGTACTGATTCAGTTCCCATGTGTCCTATAAATGTGTATGCACCAAAGATAAGAGGCTGTCATCTGAGATGGAGGGTAGATGGAGGGCTGAGATGGAGGGTAGTTAAGAGGTCTCTGACATTATTTTTTGAAATAGAGTTCAAGTATAGGGGTGAATGCATTATGAAATAATTTGCACCATAAATTAAGCACTATACCTTGTGTCAAGGCAGCAGGAGGCAATGGCATGTTACCCTCAGCACTGTTTTTCTTCTCTAACTAATCGAACGTGCAGTTGTCGCTGGTAATGATTGATTGATATAAGGGGTCTTCAATGTCTCAAAACCACCATATGCTTATGAGAGACATCGTAGTGAAGAGCTCCGAAAATTTGACCACCTAGGGTTCTTTAACGTGCACCCAAATCTGAGCAAACGGGCCTACAGCATTTTCGCCTCCATCAAAGATGCAGCCGCCGCAGCCGGGATTCGAGCCAGCAACCTGCGGTGCTGGTGATGGCAGTGCACTTGGTAGGTTAAGTTGGGCTTTCTCTAAATGGCCTCCATGATCAGTTTTGGCAGCACGTCAGAGCCAATCAAGTGGCCACACACAGTGCATCGTTGAGTTTTGCATTGCTATGTGCCACAGCAACAATGTCTGCTCACATTTTATCCTTCTACGCACCTCTGACAGTTTCATTTCTGTAAACTCTCCTTTCTTTACATACAACATAGCTACTGCCAATAAATACCTCTTAAAGGGTCGTGCAACACTTTCTGAACATGGTCAGAAAATGCTGCCACTCAGCAGTCGAGACCCCCCAAAACACAAGAGCCAAACATTATAGCGTGGCACGTGGTCTAGAATTCATAATTAATTCTCAAAGTTAGCAAGACATTACTGTCTCTTTTCTCTGCATATGCCATATACTGAAACTTCTGTGCTGTATACCTACATCCAGAGCGGTTGGCAGATTTGTACATCCTAGGATGTGCAGTTACCGTCGCCACCACGTGCCCGCTCATGCGCTTGCTATCACACTGAGTGAGAGAGAGAGCACAACTTTATTAAAAGTCTAGCGTAAATGCTCAAGTTGCCCCACGAAATGGCTACTCCCACGTGAGGACTGGCTAAAAGTAAACCGCGTGTTCTAAAAAAAAAACAAAAACACAAAACAAGGTGCTAGAGGTCCTGAGGCGTGGTGACAAAGAAATGCATCTTCTTGCCCCTTTGTCATTCCCATCCCTGTGTAGCTTTTAGAGCGCTTGCTGGCCTGAAAGGCGAGAGAAAGGACTTACAGTGTGCGACAAATATCTGCAACTCTGTTCGTACTTAATGGATTATTAAATTTTTGCAGCCAGTGATTTGTGAAGTGCCGTGTGCCAATAGTCACACTATTTCATTATAACTGAGAAACGTATTGCAGGGCCCCTTTAACACGCTTTGCTTGAAAGCAACAGAATGCTTAGACCAACCTAAGTCGAGCATGCTGGCAAGAATTCATGATTTACAGGTGAGAGCAAGCTAGAAAAAAAAATGCTTGCAGTTGACTATAATTTGGGAAAGACAAATGCAGCCACGCAGAGAAAAAGGTCAGTCGAATTAAGAAAAAAAGCCAGACACTTGCAGTGCAAAGCATAGACACATGTTCGCAGAAATTTTATTTTGGTGTAGTTCGTAAGTCACACTTAGATGCCATCACATTAACGTAGGGCAGGCGAGCAATTGCATCAATTGAAGATTAGGTAAGTGAGAATAAACGTTCACTGAATGATGCAGCACTTTCTAACTTCTGGTTAGGTACAATGCTATAATTGCAAATTCACTCTAAAATCTTTAAAAAACGTATGCAAATAATGCACTCATATTTAAATGCATGAATAAAAAGGAGTACCCTATGGATGAGCCATTAACAGCAGCTCATGTGCAAGTCTGCACTGATTTCTCTCGCACACAAAAAAATTGTCATGCTTGCAAACAGTTTTCTTTTGCAAGTTCCTGTAAATGAACATGACCTACATGCTCAAATTGCAAATGTAGATGTATATGGTACAGCTGTACCAGCTTTGAGTCCTACATCAGATGCATAGCTATCTTTTTCAGTTATCAGCACAACAAGCATGATGCATAAAATTCGAAAATTTACATAGAGCAACATTTTTCTAAATAGTGCTAACATGTTGCCTGGCTCAGACCATTACAGTGGACCTAAGTAGTTTCAGTTAAATACTTTATACAAACTGAAAAAATAAAATAAAAATAAAATAGTCTTAAAACTGATAGTCTGTCCATTCAACAAATAACAGAGGTTACAGAAAGCACAAGAAGAAACTTACGTTCCACAACAAAGCTCTTGAGAAAAAATGTCATCTTCATTTCTAATCCTGATCACAGAAACACTTTGGGGATAGACCTGTATCAAAGGAGGTTAAAAAAGAGCAGGAAGACTCATTGAAAATGTTAAATGCTTAAAGAACATTGAAAGCACAAATGACGTTACATTATACTATATTTATTAAATTTATACTTAAATTGTAATAAGGCACAAATTCCTTATAAAATGTCCAAACACAACAGATGCAATGTTATACTTAAAGGGACACTAAAGTCAAATGACAATTTATTATGAGTGAAGGTTCTATATATTACAATATCTAAAATGACAAAACATTATCAATAGCAGTGAACTACTTACCGATAAATTATGGTACAACAATACATGTGCCACAGTAGTACATTCTCAAAATGATCCCGATGACGTCAAACAAATCGCCTACAATTAATCACTAGCAATGGATCTAGCCGCACTAAATAAAGAACCTTGTGTGCATCAAGACAGGCAATACAATGCTACTTGTTCATTTATGTCTGATTCATGGAAAAAAGAACCGCTGAACGTAGCTATGGGGAATGGCACGAGTGGTTGAAAAATTCAATTTTCCCGTGGTTAAACTGGACAAGTCGTGCGATCTGGAGGGGCGCTGTTGAGCTAATCACGCCTGCAATTTTGAAGGTTATGGCTAAAAATTGTTCAATGACCGTAGTTACTGCTGTGGCTCCCGCTACTTTCCCTCTGCTACTACTATAGTGTCAGTGACTGCGCATTAAAGCCGGGCAACAACATGTACCGCAAGAGTGACGTCAGATGTTCCATTGAGACAGGTAATTTAAAGTGCACTAACCCGATGAGGACCACTAAAACACCATTTCAGTTCAAAATAAGCCCTTCCTTGGACCGCCATTTCAACAACCCACGTCGACTTAATAGTTGCCTTTAGTGTCCCTTTAAAGGACACATATTCACAAACATTTTAGCTGAATGCTGCTTCACACTGGGCAAGGCACCCGCTATTGTCCTCAAGAAATCTTGTTGTCTTTGTGCCATTCAGCGGTTTAAAAAATCTAATTAACATTCCCAGATATCAGGAAGTTATGAGAGACTGTAGTAAGTGAAGTACAAAAGTGTGCACGATTACAAGAGTTAGAAATCGACAACTACGACACTGGCATGAGCGCTGGAAAACAAAAGGACAAAGAAGAGAAAAGACCAACCGTAAAAGGCCACAGGAGGCACAAGAAAAAAAAGGGTGAAGCGTGGTGGTGAAGAGACAAAAGAATGAGCTAAGAAGATGAGCCACATTACTCAGCCGTCGGGTTAGAGATCCGAGCTTGGTAAACAGCTGAGCCTGGAGTGACCTATCACGTTACTCGACCATTGGGTTCTGAACCCGATCCTGGTGAACAGCTGAGCCCAGAGTGACCCACATCTTACTACAGGCCATGGCCATGCACATCTGATGTACTGCTGCTCCAAAATGTCCTGTCCCTATAAAAACGCTGAGCGGTCGAGCTTCAAGCGTGAGCTCTAGCGTGCGCTACGGTGATGGTGTCTACTCTTTAAGCAGTAGCATGGTCCACCCCCTCCAATTAGTGTGCTCTATTCCAAGGCTTGCCAACAAACTTTGGTGAGACCAGCATGATGCCTCGAGTCTATGCTAAACTGACAGACTGTTATGTTAGGACTTAGGCAGCACAGTTGAAAAAAGTAGGGTCAGTTTTCATATTCTGTTAGTGTTATGAGTACTCGTTTTCAGTGCACGCATATAATTTAATGTGCAAATGACCTCGTCTTTTCGTGCATGTCTGTAGCGATGTCTCATACACCTATCTACAAAGAACCTGCACGTTGTGAAAACATAACAATGTAACAGAGCCAAAGAGAGGTAATCTATGGTGACATGATCTAAACAAAACAAGCAACAGCTCATGTGACGAGACAAATCAATACAACAGATAAAGTCACTGCAGCTGTTCTTTTCAACTTTTCATTTCATGTTCCGTTGCTCTTAATATGGGAGAAAATGTGTTGAAGTGGAACGCTATGCAAAGTGGATGAAATAAATAAATGAGTAACTTAATTAAGCCGACATGTTACTGTGTATGCACAGTTTCACAATAGAAGTTTGCATTATTATAAAAGACACAAAGAATTATGTAACCATACCTCATTTGGAACTTTCACAAGATCTGGTAGGTTTAATGCATTTTCCAGAGGCATATTTCTTCTTTCAACAGTGCACCCAGCTTGAATGGCATCACGACAGATGTCCTGAATTTTTTCTATCTGTTCATTGGTCAGATTTTTCTGGAAAACAGTAATATTCAGAAGTGATGCACTCCTATTTTTTTTAACACAATTCTTTACTGAAGCTTTTCTTTTAGAACCCCCCCCCCCCCCCCCCCCCTTAATGCAACAACTTCACAATTTCAAAGCAAAAAAGCTTTCTCCTTTTTGCATATGCAAATCTTATAAAACAAGAGCGTCCAAGATAACACAAAATGTTGGCTACAAACACACGCATTGATGAGTCTGCCTGTGAAGACTGACTTGCTTGGCTAGCTGTGTTAAAAGGGGGCCCGAATTACTTTCTTTAATGTTTTCCTATTATCTCTTTAGTATCAGTGAGTGTGCTTGTTGCATTAAGCCCCTTTAAAAATAAAATCAATATAAACTCACTGATATTAGTTTGCTGCAACACCTAAATGTGCACTCTCGAGTGCATTTAAAATTAGGAAACTTTTGAAAAACTTGGAGCATTTTAATACTTTAGAACAATTGTATGTGTATGAAAAGGGCGAAGTAAACTTCTATAGACCAGGATGACAATAGATTGCAATCACAGAAAGTTGAGTTAGTTGGTTCACACTGCCTGGTTCCTTTCTCTTGTTTTCATGTCTGTACTTTGTGTCTTCTCTCTGGAATAAAAGTTGCTCACCTTACAGATGAAATCGAACCGTAAGTGCTCACTGTCTACCAACGATGACCTCTGCTCAGTAGATTCAAGCACTGTTCTCAGTGCGGCATTCAGACAGTGCGTAGCAGTGTGGTGCATCATGCACTGCAAACGGCGTTGCTGTTAACAACAAAAACAGAAAACAATTCAAATTATTAATCATAAGGCACAGGTATTTGAACTATTAAAAAAAAAGTGCTCAGCTCTCATGACACATTAAAGGGCACATAAAAACTGCCTAACCAATATCACACACATTCTATTTGCAAGTCGGCATCCTGAAGCTGGCTAGGTAAGACCACCATATTTCTTTGAGGTTCAAATGAAGGGACTACTTGAAAGTGGGTCAAATTTGCACAGCATGATTCTAAAGCACTCGATATGACTTTCGGAAGAAGGAAAATAAAATAAATTTATTGTGGAAGTTTTCCTAAGTAAACATTTAATTATTCTGCAGTCAGTCATGTTACAATTTTACATAAAAATAGTCATATCGTAGGCTCAAAATGCATGTGCCGCTAGTTTTTTTTTTTTGTTCTTGTACACATTTCAAGCAAAAAAGCTATACGTTTCACATTTGTTCTGGAACGCGTCACAATAAAAGGCCCATCAATCATTGCAGTGCATTTGCAAAAGTAACCAGCTGCAATTATTCGCAGCACATTAAGGTCAAGTATATATACACTGACTAAGCACGACATTCAACTTGTGTGTTCAAGAGCATATAGACGATTTTCCGCAGCAGCGCCCATGCGCTGTTATGTCTGATCACATGACCATAAACTAGCCTTCTCCCAGCCAGTTGCTCAAGCATTGGGCCAGCGAAGCGGTGGTGGCCGCAAGCACCAGTAGCTGGGTTTAGAAGCCAACATGGCAGCAACCATGCAGACGCGGCCGCCCACTTCAATCCAAACTCATGCTTGCCACTCGCCCACTGTCATCACAGCAATAAATAGTGAAATCAGCTACTGCTTCGTGTCACCTCACACTGGGAACAAGACATTAGGCATATACTGTTTTCATTTAGGAGATTAGCTGTGTTTATTTAGCCATGCCTGCTAAGCCTTGTCTCCGAGAATTTGAGAATAAATCTCGAACATCCTGCAAAATACCAACGGATGCATTGCTCTCGAAGCTTCAGGACGTAAATAGAAAGCAAATAAACGTGTGTGTTGCAAACTTATGGGCCACGTAGCACAGGTGCACACAGCACAGGTCGACGACATAATAAGATAGAGGTAGAAGGAAACTGCACCTATAGATGCTGCCATATTTACTTTCCCTGCCGTGGCCATCTTTCTGCCATCGCCTTCTGCAGCACTGCTGAACAGCCACATCGCATCGTCTGCTCGGCGTCCCCATAGCGTCTGCTTTGCTTTTACTTGCGGGCGTGCAGACGCTACGAGGACGCCAAGCAGAACACGTGAAGCGGTTGTTGAGCAGTGCTGTAGAAGGCCACAGCAGAAAGACAGACATGGTAAGGAGATGTCCACGGTGTTGTGGCCCCATCTAGATTTGATGGAGCAAACAAGCTGCGAAAAATCGTCTATACATTCTTGGCCACTACTAGTCCCGAAAACATGCAAAAAACAAGTCGTACACATATGTGATTGATTGATTGATATGTGGTGTTTAACGTCCCAAAACCACCATATGATTATGAGAGATGCCGTAGTGGAGGGCTCTGGAAATTTCGACCACCTGGGGTTCTTTAACGTGCTGTACACATATGTGAACACTGTGCCTCAAGGGAACATAGTAGTGCCAAGTTTGCAGTCAAATAATAGCACGCAGTAACTGAATGAGGCAAGATAAGCAGCAAGGTGTGAAACATAAGTCAAACACATGATGAGACTGCAATAACAGAAGTCCAATAAGGAGTCAAGAACAAACTTACTGCAGCCATGAAACTGTTAACTTTTTCAGATTGCAACTTTTTTCATTGCACATATGATATTCGAAAGCTGCTGAAGTATCAACATGAATAAAAAGCATCATAATTCAGAATAAGTAAGTCTTCCACAAAACAATGGCACCTGCCAGAGCATCATAATAAATCATGTCCTGTGCTTAATAATATTAATAATAAATGATGGGCTCTAGCACCCTAAACATTTCTTGTGCTGTCAATGTTTTTACCAGCTATTTCACTGAAGACATCCTAATGTTTACAAAGAGTACAGAAAAAACGATCAGCTTATTTATTTATTTATTTATTTTACAATGCATTGTTTACCCCAACAGGTAATACAATTTGTCTGATATGCATGGATGAGTTCCTTCGTTAGATGACTCTGTTTTAATAATAACTTTATGAAAGACATTTACACCATAGCAACTGACCTGAAGACAGCCAATGCTCAAAGAGCTGCAATCTAAGTGATAATATTACCCTACTGCTCTTTACAAAGTATTCGTTTACAGAACTTGCCATGAAATATAGAACGGTGTTCATACAGTCTTGTCTACAGTCTGAACAGAACAAAAAGAAGAAAAACCTGGGCTAGTTGGTGATAGTTCATTTATGAACAGCTTACAGTGAGAGAAAGGATGAGGACGCAGACCAAGGATGCAATGACACGAGCGCCAACTCTTAACGGAAGTTTATTAGAAGGAAAGGCACGAATAAATACGAAGGCCAATTGGCTATCAACATAGCAGCTGCGGGCGTGCCAGTTCGCATTTCTATTTATTGGTGCCATTCCTTCATATAAACTTTACCTGAGAGTCAGCACTTGTGCAGTCACATCCTTGGTCTGCGTCCTCGTTCTTTCTTGCACCGTAAGCTGATCAAAAGCGAACGAAAGATTTTCTGCAAAAAATGTAGGTGAAGTGATGCTATTTTTTACAGTAAATTTATGTAGAGACGTCTCAATCTCAGAGATCTTGCAAGTTCCTATGTGATTGAAGAAACTTATCCCTATGCACACATAAACAAAGATATACTAACATACACAAACTGTCACGCAATATGTAAGGTAGGGTATTACAAGATATAGACGGTAATCTCACTTTATCAATCCCCATTTCTGCTTCGTCCTTCGGGTGAATTACTCCAGTTGTCACCATACCTTTGTGAAAAACAAAGCCACTGCAGTTTCTCACATCATGAATAATGACTTCACCACTCTGAAAACAAATATAATGAGATGCAAATATTTTAGACCAGATTATATAGACATAGCCAAACTCAGATATACCGAGTTACATACTAAAAATTTAAGTGTATAATGTATAAGTCCAGGTTCTTTTCACTTCCGCATTCAATATATTGAATGCTGCACCATACTGCACCACTGAAAGTTTGCTCCTTGTTATAACCGTCGTCAGTAGGCGCTGTGCTGTCGCTGAGAAGCGTAGCCGGGCAGCGTTCCCACGCCTGGAACCACAGTTCTCTCGGAACCAGCGTAAAGAGCTGACAGGGGAGCTGCGCTCTTTTAATCCTCAAACAAGTAGCCGACTGGCCGGCTGCCTATGCCCGCCAGGTATTGTCCCTGCTAGCCGGAGGATGAGACGTCGTGTCGCCACGATGCCGTAAGCCGTTCCAGAGAGGACAACAAAGACAGCATCTTCCTTGGAAGAAAACGCGGCCGCCGCCACAAATTGCCCTGCTAATTGAGCGAACAGATTGGCAGACCGTTTGATGTATGCTGTCAGGAGCTTGGGACCCCTCGACTAGCGGCACACACACGATGAGGAAGAGCCCCTCTGGCGCCACCTTGCAGTGCAGTGATCACGACTCAATATTGGATGTTCACGTGGGCCGTGCATGCTCATACCCCTCGCCTGTTGTGTGTGTGTGTGATTGGTGTTCCACTCAAGAAGGAGGAGCCCGACAGGGCTTATAACGCCGCCGCAGAGTGCTGGACGTCGCTCTGACCCATGTAACGGTTCAACAACCACGCTCGTGGTTTGTGAACTCCTGACCTCATGCTGTAAATAAGTATAAATAGTGCCATAAACCTGTTTGTTTTCCGTATTCCCAATTTGTCAGCCTTCGTTTCCTCAACCCGAAGCTACACCACACTAACACAAAAGACCGGGCAGACCCCGGTCAGCGACTACAGGAGAACAGCGCCGGGATCCACAAACACTGGAGTACAGCGCTGGGATCCGCAACAACTGGTGGCAGCGGTGGGATCCGAAGCTACTACTGGTGAACAGCGCCGAGAGCCACCGCATCGCTGAGATCCACAACAACTGGTTGGCAGCGGTTGGATACGAAGCTACAAGTGACAACAACAGTCGGCCCAAGGAAAGCAGCTGGCTCGAGACTTGGACCACGTATGGGTAAGTGCTTGGCTTTTGCTTTGAGTGAACCAGGTTCTAGAAGAGGGTTGAATTTTAGAACTGGTAGGTAACTTTTTCGAAAGATTCAGTTTCCCCATTTCGGGAAGTTATTTTTGGAAGTAGCGAGCACTCAGTACGATCATGGACTTACGAGAGCTGCAGAAGCCGGACTTATTGCTGTTGTGTGAGGAATTGGGAATCGATGCAAAGGGTTTGGCACGAAAACGCATAATCATTCAAGTGATTAATTATTTGGGGGCTGAGGAGCTCAGTGAAGCATGGGACCTCATCAGTCAAAGAAAGAGACAGCAGAAGGAAGAGGAGGAGAGGCGTGAGCGTGAAAGAGAGGAACGTCGCTTAGAAAGCGAGCGTGAAATAGAAATACTGGTGCACGACATTGCGAACCGCAAACGAGAACTCAAGTTGAGGAATAGGTCGGGCAGTAGTCCCCAGCAAGTGGTACCTTATCGCAACTTGAAGGCCGAGTTCTGGATGTCTAGGTACATGCAGCCATATACAGATTCAGGGGATAGATATTGGCTTGTATTTGATGATATTTGAGCGGAAGTGCGAGTAACTGTCATTTGAGCGAGACACATGGTGTCAAAGGCTACTCACGGTTCTGCCTTGCGAGGCAGATGAAGCTGTTGCGCGACTCAGTGAGCAGGATGCGAACAGCTACGAGGTAGTTAAGGCGGAGATGTTCCGGATATTCAGAACTTCTGTCTGGAGAAAGGAAGAGCAGCTCAGACAAGAGTCTGAAAGCGAGGCGTGTCGGAAAGCGCTGGACGTCGAAGCGCGTCGTGAAACGCTAGAACCAGAAATCGCGCTAGAAAAGGGCCCACATATTCTCGAATGCATCAATGTAAATGATGTAGAGAACGAGGCCTTGGCCGGTCTCGAGGTAGAGATAGTATCAAAAGACGGTCCTTGCGAGGATGAGGTGTGTGCCAGCAGCCCTAATGGGCTCAGTAAGAAGCTGGAAACCATCCTCATGCCTCGAGAGGACGTCTTGAGATCGTCACATGCAGATAGGGTTAGCACAGTGGCTAAACACAGCGAGAACGCGACGCTTCAGGAGTGCAGCGATGCCATTGGAGAGGGCCCAGTTAATCGTTTCATCAGCGTTAACAAAGATAATTTGGCCCGGCAGTCCGTCGTGACACCGAGTTCAAAATGTGTGAGCGTGGGGAAAAATGTTGCACAAGCTCCAACGAGCTTCCCAACCCCTCATTTCCCGACACGACATGATGATGGCATCGAGAGAAAAGGGGCAAGCAAACATCGCCGAAAATGAAAGAAGCGGAAGCGCACCGCACTGTGTAAGCCTAAGGCAGATCCCACTCCATCTCGAGAAAGACGAAAGGCTAGGCCGTTAATCCGTTTCAAGAAACGTCAATGGTGGTGTTCATAGAGGCACAAGCGGCGAGCCAGGTGTAGAGGGGGAAAAGGAGGTACGCCACCCCAACGCAGCGTGCGGTTCAGTTCGACAACTTCTGGAAAGCGTCCTTTGCCGAAGGGTCAGAGTCGAAAGGGCAGAGTGGCTAAATACCGCGTAGGGGAGAACACAAAAGAAAAATGGCACAGGCTTCCCCCCTGCTTCTAGCACCCCTTTCACATAACCGAAGAAAGCCGGCCGAAGTGCAGAATGAGGTGTGACGGCAGGACACAGCCTAACGTTCATGTGTTTAGTAGCCTCAGGCATGCTGGAAAATTGCCGGGACCGCGACCCCATCGTGTGCGATTCAAGCGAATCTAGTTGAGAAAAGGGGGCGGTCAGTTTGAGTATTTTTTGTACGTGCGTGTTAAATATGGCTGCTCAGTATTGCATTGGAGATGCAGATTTCAGCCAGTTTAATTTTGTAAGTTACGTGGCGCGGTGAAAAATTTTCAATAGTAAAACCGCTGAACTGAAGGCTGAAAATTGAAGTCCGTTAATCATTTGTACGAATATACCGAGAAGGTAAAACAAAAAAAATATGTGTTAATTTTTTTTAGTGTTTCAAAGGTTTAGTGTAGTTTCGTATGCCTTCACTGTCACGTGAATGTGGCGTGAATTGGCATTTAAGGAAGAAGATATTAACATAAACCGAATGATTTCGTAAAATGTTAGGTTTGGCGCGACAGAGTGGAGTTGTCGTTGCGTGCATTGAGAATTGAGAGTCATTGGTGCACGGTTTTAGCATAAAACCTATGCAATTGCTTTTTAGGTCTTCTTACCTAGAATTATTTTTGTGTTGTACACAACGTACCGTAAGAATGTTAGAAAAACTGCGACGGATCAGCCATTCAATTTTGAAAACTCCTGATTACGACCGAGTTACTGACATGTGGGAGATCGAGGCCTAGGTGCCGTTCTATGTCAGGATGACAGTGGCAACGGGTATGATGCAATCTACTTAAGCCAGAAATTGGGTTCTTGAGAGATAACGTACGGCGCTTCAGGAAATGAATGCGCTTGCCTAGTGTAGGCCATTCATCAGTTGCAGTGTTATCTCAGAGGTGCTAAATTTAAACTAGGGACAGACATTTTTCCCCTTACTTGGCTGCAAACCGTGACATCAAAGAACAGTCGCCTTGTGAGGCAGAGCTTGATTCTTCGAAAATATAATTTTGGCATTAGGTAAAGGGAAAATTGAATGGAAACATTGACGTGCTCAGCCACTTTTTCTAAGCCATTCTGGGGTGCTCTTGATGTATCAAAATTGATATTTTAGTTTTTTTTCGTGCATCTTATTATGAGAATGTTTAAGATAGCACGTTTGGTTTCTCAGCACAAGTGAGTCCTGATAGTTTTGAGTGTGAGCTTTTTGTTAGAGCTAGTGAAGAATATTGGTTTGCCATCCCTCTTTTGGCTTGGTTTGTTCGAAGGGGGCCGAGTGCTTGCTTGTGCATGTGGTAGAGTTTCAGAAACGGTGTCGAAGATTCGGCAATTACCCAGACCATGCCACAAGCGAAGGCCAGTTCCTGGCATTCAACTATGGACCCTTTCGTCGTCCCTGCGAGCAGCAGCGGTGACTGCTGCCCTCCGTGACTCATCTGGCAAGGGGGAAGCTGTTACGACCGTCGTCAGTAGGCGCCGTGCTGTCGCTGGGAAGCGTAGCCGGGCAGCGCTCCCATGCCTGGAACCACAGTTTTTTCGGAACCAGCCTCCAGAGCTGACGGGGGAGCGGCGCTCTTTTAATCCTCAAACAAGTAGCCGACTGGCCGGCTGCCTATGCCCGCCAAGTATTGTCCCTGCTAGCCGGAGGATGAGACGTCGTGTCACCACGACGCCGTAAGCCGTTCCAGAGAGGACAACAAAGACAGCATCTTCCTTGGAAGAAACTGCGGCCGCCGCCACAAATTGCCCTGCTAATTGAGCGAACAGATTGCCGGACCGTTTGATGTATGCCGTTAGGAGCTTGGTACCCCTCGACCAGCGGCACACACACGATGAGGAAGAGCCCCTCTGGCGCCACCTTGCAGTGCAGTGATCACGACTCAATATTGAATGTTCACGTGGGCCGTGCATGCTCGTACCCCTCGGCTGTTGTGTGCGTGTGTGATTGGTGTTCCACTCAAGAAGGAGGAGCCTGACAGGGCTTATAACGACGCCGCAGAGTGCTGGACGTCGCTCTGAGCCATGTAACGGTTCAACCACCACGCTCGTGGTTTGTGAACTCCTAAGCTCATGCTGTAAATAAGTGTAAATAGTGCCATAAACCTGTTTGTTTTTCGTATCCCCAATTTTTCAGCATTCGTTTCCTCAACCCGAAGCTACACCATGCTACCACAAAAGACCGGGCAGACCCCGGTCAGCAACAACTGGTGATCAGCGCTGGGATCTGAAGCGACTACAGGAGAACAGCGCCGGGATCCACAACAACTGGATTACAGCGCAGGGATCCCCAACAACTGGTGGCAGCGGTGGGATCCGAAGCTACTACTGGTGAACAGCACCGAGAGCCACCGCAACTGGGTGAACATCGCTGAGATCCACAACATCCTCCCAACTAGTCCATGATCACTTGTGCCATCAAAAATATTCCATGTCAACATAATGGCACTGTAATGGCAAATTCTGCAAAACATAGTATAGAATCTAGAAGGCAGTTTGAGGAATGGAGCAAAAGAGCAGGTTTCGTGCATCTCAAAATAAGGATAGCTCGTACAGTGAAAATATTACGTTTGTGCTCTATACTAAGCAAGCTTCACCACAACACAGCTATGTAATGCAGTGAAAAATACCAAAAGCAGTAAAGCATACAATGTGTGGCCATTTATTAGCAGAAATATTGAGGACCATCAAAGAAACACCTTCCATTCCGATACATGCATTCCAAAAACTTGGGTAAAATTCAATAGTCAGTAAACGTGTATGCTTCTCTCAGGCTTGGAGAAAAAATCAGTCCATTCTTGATTTTCATGATTTAAGAGACTGCTGAATACATGCACAGTTTTCAGATAAGCTTTGGATAGGCAAACTTTTTATTTCAAATGGTTTATATATTGAACTGCTTCATGATTCCTTTCAAGTTTGATATTTCTTCTCTACTGTATAACATAAAAGAAATTTGAGAAGAAGAAAAGTATGCTACCAAGCAAAGCAAAGTGACGTGCTTTATGAACTCCCCTTGCTTTAATATTGTCACACTGTGAAGTTCACAAAAGGGTCAACACGGGTTCTAACTAAAGCAAGTTCAAAAACAAACCTTTGAATTTTATGCTTTGAAATCCACATAGCAAGCTTATCTACTACAATTAGGCATAATACCCTATTTGTTATATAAATAACTCCCATCGCTTAGTTCATATGACTTCCCTGTTCAAATTCAAAACATTTAGTTTTGTTCAACTGGTCACAAGAAATAAAGAAGTGAAGGAATGACCGACCTAGTTTATTGACAATAAACAAGAAGGAAATAGAGCACTTGTGTTTGTTTGTCCATGACTTACTGGCCTCTTTCTTTACAACATGACATAGTACAACACACACATGCATGTGGCCATTGACAGGGGGATACAAAAAAAAAACACGTCCCCCCGCCCCCCTTAGTTACACCAACACTTGCCTTGCTCCAGCCACACCAGTACTAAGGAGCACTGGTGTGGCTGGCACGCGCTTGTCTACTGGCATACATCCAAGTAGCTACACACAAGGCTGAGCCAAGAATCATATGACTGAAACCGAGCATTCTCACTACTATGATACAGCTGCTATACAGCTACGATACAGGCAAGTGAAACCAAGGGTGCAGTGGGGGCAAGAATCCCTACAAGTTTTCTAGCAGAAAAGCCACAATACCCTTCTCTGCCCCCTCCCCTGTTTAATTGCATAAAAATAATTCACTATTAATAAAAGATGAATTAAAGTGAGCAGCAGTGATGCCATATGTACTAAACAAAAATGTGAATTGTAGAATGGCTTTATTTTCAAGGGAATTATCCTGAAATGTGCTACAACATACACCAATTATTTACTAAAGTTTATCAATTTATCATCACAGAATTTGGGATGGTTTTGCTTGGAATTTCAATGCATTTTTTAATCAAATTTTGGGGAAAGATACCTCATAGTGATGCTAATGTTAAGATGTCTTGCAAAGCAACCTTACTTTAATATGTGCTACTGTACTGCTTTAATTTCAAAATGCCAACATACCTGCCAAGTTCAAGGATTCTGAATACAGGAGATTTCCACAACGGAGGGGGCAGGGTGCAATGAATTATTTGTCCCTATTTTTTTTGGCACCACAAAGAAACCCATGGACAAACAAGCAAAAAAACATCGCAAAAAATAAGAGAGGGTGGGGGGTCTCATTCGCAAGCGCCAACATCAGTGATGCGGTCTTGAAGTGGCTTGGAGTGGCCGAACACACGAGAGTAGGGTTTCCCAGTAAGGTGAGAGTCTCAAAGGATCAACACAGCTAGCAGAATCTATTTCCTTCAAAACAACTCGCTTATGCCTTCCTGGGACACACGTGAACGGATGGGACGCGCAGCTGGCTGCCGCAAAAGCGCGGGTCAAAGCTTTGCTCACTACTAGATTCTTTTCACAGGAACGCCAAAACGCGTCTGGCCCCTTTTTATTGTGATAGCAATTATATGGACAGTCCCGGCTGGTGTTTTGCCGTCACCGCCGTCATTCACCGTATATGTATACGTATCTATATACCTATATATATGAGCACCCAAGAAAAAAAAAAAAAAAAAAAAAAAAAAAAAAAAAAACCGCCCGCACTCGGCGCTCGCCCAGCTAGTCGCGATGCGCCCATGCGCGTTTATCTTTCACGCGTACTATGCCCCGCTGATGGGGGGAGGGGTAGATGCTTGTGCGCCCGCGCTTATCTTTTCGTGGGGAGAATCGTGTGCCTTCGGCATTCACCGGAACGATTGTGTTAGTTGCCCGGCCCACAAAGGTCACTTCCGTCTTTGCACAGGTCCCCTTTGTGAAAAGAGCGCACTTTTCATACACAGCGAGGTATAACTGGGACACTTGTTAGTTTGTACTACTCATCTGTACTTGTGATTACGCATCGTGCATCGTTTTTCTTTAAACAGCTCATTACGTGTCGAGCGGTAAACGTTGTTAGTTCGCTCTCGTCCTGTGTGCATCGTTCTCGTGCGTCATTTGTGAGTGAGCAGCGCACTGCATATTTCAATCTGCTTGCCGTTCTCAGCGAGACCTTCTAAGTTGTTGCTGTCGCATTTATTGCTTCGCCCTTACAGCAAAACTGTGACCTTTTTTACGTATATACGGCCTTTAATCTACCGCTGCGTGTCCTCAGAGCTTGTAGATCGCTATCGCGTCACCGCGACCACGGTTTTGTGTGCGGCGGTTGCGGAAAACGGTAGTTTCTTTTATAATTCCAGTCTGCTTGCCTGCGCCCGCGCCTACAAAACTAAGTCGTTTTATGCCATCTGCGTTCGCATCTGCCACAGTTTTGTCCGCAGAGTTTGCGGAAAGCAGAGTTGCTTTGACTGATCGAGCGCACACTTTCGGGGCTCTGTCAGTTACGTCGCCGCCATACATGATTGCGCGAAGAGCGACCACGGTTTCGTTCACAGCGGTTGTGGCAACGACAATCACGCGCACTGTAGAAGACAGTGCGAGTGCAGGTCGCAGGCGTACTTCCGAAGCTTCGGGTACGCTGCTCTCGGCCTTCGTTCGACGATTTCCGTACTAAAGTCCATATCACCCGCCACGATTAGGAAATGTGTTCGGAACATTCGAATTTAGGCCCAACAGACATAGAGGAATTTGGCTGGGCAATTTCACAAATTCGTACCTGCCGCGGTTTCCCATCACTGAGATTGTACTGTACATTTAAATGAACACCTCTTAAACTCATTCGTAATAAAATGGGGTAGGTTAAAAAAGCCTGGAGCTTACCGAGCTGTTTTTTTGTCAATGCGGCCAGATCACGCACAGAAATTTCTATTTCCGGGAGAATTTCATAAAAAAATGTAAGAAACTGTCCACATCCGGGAGTCTCCCGGCCAATCCGGGAGACTTGGCAGGTATGCAACATGCAACTAAAAATGAATCATTAAAGAGTTCAATTGCCCACTTTAGGTAATAAACCAACTGAAATTTTTACTGCTTCTAATATATGCCCATCCATGTGTTGTATTACAGAAAGCTGAAGCATTGGTATTACCGGTATTTTTGTTTTATTTTCCAAATAAATATTTTTTAAAAACCTGATGAATGACAAAGAAATTGGTGGCAAATACTTTTTAGCTACAGTAACAAGACAACCACCTTTGTTTTGATGTATCCAGTGTCAGAGACTTGGCCTCCATTTTCAAAGTAGAAGTTTGTAGCATTGGTTACAACAAGACAGTGTTCTCCTTGTCTGGCACTGGTAACACTCTGGCCATTGCTAAAGACAGCTTCAACAGTTGTCTTCAATGATGGGAAATCTATAATAAAAGTAAACAGCTTTTAAGAATGTCGTATGGCGAACAGAAAACATTTCTGTGATACCTATTTGCTTATGAAGGAAAGAAAATATAGACTGAGGGCTCGTATCTTTGATACAACCTAAACAATAGGTTGTATCACACTACGAAAACAATAGACAATAAAGCAAAGGAAAGAATTAAATACATTATTCATAGTTTTTTTTATCACTGTGCTGTAATAGTTGTGACACAAATGGAAAGAAATTGAAGTGGACAAAAAACATCAGTGCAGGATGGGACCGAACCAGCACCTTTCAAATTATCCATACAAATTACCCATGCAATACTCTACTAATTGAGCAATGGTAATCCATTTCATTGGGTATTTTTGTGAGTGTAATCCTGGCAGCGTTAAGATGGCACCATTTATAGCCACATTGGCGAATGTGGAACATTCTTCTTTTGCCTAGCATGAGTCACGTAGTAAGCGATCTTATCCCATGCTGGCAGCTGACAAATAAAACCTTGCATGCTACCTAAAGGCAAGACGTCTGCCATAATGTGACCCTTTCTATGAAAGTAGGAAGGAAGGGGAATGAACTGAAGGCACATTTTTTTTTTGTCAGACACAACCTAACAAGGACAATAGAGAATAAAGCAAAGGAAACGCTAGCATATACTCCACTCTGTGACTTATCATTGAAATACAGCATTGTTCAAAGTGCTAGCTAGAGAAGCGGCTTTTTGTCTAAGCTCTCAGGGTATCACAGGCTCTTGGCATTGCAGGCTTATAGACATGAACTAGTGCATATATAGCAAAGGAAGGGAGTAGGCATAGGTTAGGCTTATGCAAATATTTGGGTGCTTCAAGTACTCAAACAAATATTATAGAATTCCAATTCACTTCGATTTGAATTTAAATTATCGAAAATTAGGAAATATTTAAAGTGTATATTAATCCGCAAGTAACTTCCTGTAAAGGTGGCTTCACAGCAGTGACTGGGTTGCTAAGCTGTGAAAGCATCTACTCAAGCGTATATCAGTTCGCATGTAAGCCTTTGTAAAGCTGTTATGAAATAGAAACAGCACAATATTCTACACTGGGACACACTAAAGAAGTGAAACAGAAAGCACCGTCTTTTGTGTGTCTCTGTCTAAAATATCGCGCTCTTCCTACTTCATAATGCAAAACAAATTAGCCCAATGCTTCACTTCACCTGTAAAGGTGGTTTCACTGCAGTAAAGTGCCAACTGTGAAAACACTTATCCAAAATATCCGTACCACCGCAAAGCCTCATTTTAAAGCTAAATGAACGTATTAACTTCACATTGATTCATTGTTTTTTTCTAGATTAAAACATTGTTATACCTTATATTTTCTAAGTATAGCAAATTTTAAGATGTAAAATATATATCAGGTTATCATTTGCATTCTACCGGAAGTCATATCCTGCTATTTCCAACTTTTTTTCCTCTTTCTTCGAACCAAAGAAATGGCATTTGCACAGGCGTTGCTTAAATTTAAAAAAAATGATTGTGCAGGTTAGCCAGGTCATAAAAAATATGCCCCCTTTTCTTTATAATATGTGATATATACTATCTGAATTTGATTCGAAATTATTCGTCGAAAGTTTCAAATTCGCTTCAAACTAAAGTTCACAATTTGCACAAGGCTAGCAAGAGCAAGATATAACAAAGCATAGTGCTGCAAAGCACTTTAAAAAAAAAGAAGAAACAATATAATGAACTTGCTTTCCTTTGTTGTAGCACTTAAACTCATAGCTCTCATGCAAATCACAAAATTATTTTTTCAGAAACAAATGTTCACTTGAAACCAGAAACATTCACATTTGAATTTTTGCTAATGACAGTCAGATAACAATGTGTCAGTTAGCCATCTATATTGCACCCCATAAAAGCTTAAAATAAAAACTTCAACAGCTGACAACACATTTGCCAGCAACTAAACGAAAAATCGAGAGATACTCTTCAAACACTGAACAGGAAAAATAAAAGCAGACTAATAAAGGAGTACAAAAACACATATCAAATGTACATGTTTGAGCAAAACATTACCAATCTGTAAACAAGGTCATGTGACCGCGTGAGCCAAATATTATTACATAGTATGCGCAGAAAATATATAAACCTTTGTCAGAACCTCTCAAAAATCACTAGCACTCGTACCTTCACAATGCCAACGGCAGTTACGTAGCAAGTAACCTTACAGGTATCGGTAGTCTGAGAAGTACATGCTAATATTGAGTTAAATAAACTAAAATCGTATATGCCCACAATTTCAAAAAGACAGACAAAATATTTATCTTCCTTCTTTTGATCTCAACTGACAATCATCTACATAATGTTTCATTTCCTTTTACATGTATTTGAGACAAACTGGTGTACTGTATGAGCATGCGCCTCGAAACATCACATGTTTAGATAGGTGACTTGCCTCATATTGAGTACACTAGAAAAGTACTCACTTATGCAAATTGTCCCCTCCCAGTCCACAAGTATGATTAGCCACACAAGCTAGTCATCTTGTATATGCTGTTAAGTTTGGCCTGGAAATTCGTCTGGGCAGACGCCATTGTGCGTAAGCCGGTCTACTGGGGAGGCTCTAAATCTCTTCGGCGCCCAGTCTGCCAGACGCTGTCGAAGATTTGAGCAATTACCCAGACAATGTGGCAAGCAAAGGCGAGTTCCTGACTTTCAAATGCGGACCCTTTCGTCGTCCCTTCAAGCAGCAGCGGTACCTGATGACCTCGGCGACTCATCTGCCGACGGGGAAGCTGTGACCGGCGCCACAGCTGACGGGGGAGCGGCGCTCTTTTAATCCTCAATCAAGTAGCCGACCAGCCGGCTGCCTATGCTCGTCAGGCATTGTCCACGCTAGCCGGAGGATGAGACGTCGTGTCGCCACGATGCCGTAAACCGTTCGAGAGAGAACAACAAAGACAGCATCTTCCTTGGAAGAGACCGTGGCGGCCGCCGCAAATCACCCCGCTAATTGAGCGAACCGATCGGCGGACCCTTTGATGTATACTGTCAGGATCTTGGGACCTCTCGACTAGCGGCACACACACGACGAGGAAGAGCCCTGCTAGCCCCACCTTGCAGTGCAGTGATCACGACTCAATATTGAACGTGCACGTGGGCCATGCATGCTCGTTCCCCTCACCTGTTGTGTGTGTGTAATTGGTGTTCCACTCGGAGAGGAGGAGCCCAACAGGGCTTAAAACGACGCCGCAGAGTGCTGGACGTCGCTCTGAACCATGTAACGGTTCAACCACCACGCTCGTGGTTTGTGAAACCACTAACCCTTCTTTGCTGTAAATAAGTGTAAATAATCAACCATAAACCTGTTTGTCTCTTCTTGCCAGCGTTCGTTTCCTCCACCCGGTTACACAACGCTACCACAAGAGACCGGGTAGACCCCCATTCGCAACAACTGATGGCAGCGGTGGGATGCCATCAGCGAACTTCCTCCTGCGACCTTAACAACTGGTTGGCAGGTGTGAGATGAACTTCACGACATGGTGCTGTGCTGTGGTGAGTGCTTGGTTTTTGCTATAACTTTCCAGGCTTCATGTTGTGAGTGTGAATTGATTAGAAGCTGGATTGTGTGTGAATTAGGGAGATTACCGTTTCTGAGTTTTGAGTTGTAGGGATCCCCTATTTATGTGTGAAATGCAGGACCAAAGTACAACGGCATTCATGGCGTGGAAGGCAATGCTAAGCTAAGAGATGAACTTTTGGCTGTGAGTAAGCATCTAGGCATTGAAGTGGAGGAAGGAATGAGCAGGACAGCGATTGTGAGGCTGATCGCGCAAAAAGCTAGTGAGGAGGAGATTAAACATGCGGTAGAGATTTTAGAAAAACAGAAAACAGACAAAGATGAAAGGGATAGAAAAGAGCGTGATCGAGCACGCAACTTGGTGATTGAACAATTGGAACAGAAAATCGAGGCAATAAGACGGAAAATTCAGCCATTCGTAAGTGTAACTCAAGAGAAGTGCGAGAAAAACATAAGTGAGGTGCAGTTGATAGCCGTAGACAAGGCTAGCACGTTTAAGGACATCAGCAGGTTCGATGAAGAACCAAATTTGAGTGCTGCTAAAGATGCTGCGCTGCATAGAGAGGCCGACGAAGGCCAGAGCGAATGCGACGAGGTGCTGTGCCAGTTTAATGCTAGCGAAACAACTAGGATAGCTGTAGAAAGGCTGGGACAGACTTCAACTGTGTTTGTCGCGACGGTGGATCTTGCAAATGAGGTTGAAGAAGTCAAGAACACCGGAAAAAGCTCAGGAGAAGCAGCGAAAGTAGATGATAAGAACCGTGCGGTTGTAGACAGCTCCCATGAATGCGAGAGAAATTTTTTTTTGAGAAACAGCGGCATTGTTCTTCAGTGTGTTACGCTGCCCGCCAGTCCAAAATGTGAAACAGATGTTTCTTTAGAAAATCATTTAGACTGCGCGGGCCAGACAGCTGACAGATGCTGTGAGAGGGTGAGCGAGTTTGAGATGCGAGCAGGAAGCTCCGAAACGAGTCGCAAAAAGAGGCGCAGACGCAAGAGACGTCGGAGAGCCGCGAGTGAGACAAGCAGCTTTACGCGTGTTGAGAAAGGTTCGAAGCCTATTAGCGCAGCAAGCAGAACTAGGAATTTTGCATCGGCGTCAAAGTTCATTTGTATGCGTCTGACCTGCCGGACGAAAAAAAAAGGGAACAGCAAGTCCTTCGCAAATGAAATCAAATGGAAGGTGCCAGGTTAGTTGGGTGCGTGAGTACAAAGTTAACACAGGTGAATCGGCCCGACATGGCAACAGTGCTAGGAAATGGAACTGCCAAAGTAGTGTGCCAGGTGGTGCAGAAGCACCCTTGAGCTGTAGAACAGCCGATGACGCAACCTGAGGCGAACTTCCTAGTAGTGGGGGAAAGACTGGTCGCAAACGTTGCCGCAAGAAAGCGGAACTACTAAGGAATATAAAAGGTGGCAATCGGTCTTGCGAACGGGA